GTTATTAATTCACCATTTGTTTTAAACCAATTACATTGTAATGGTGTTCTTGAAGGTATCCGTATTTGTCGAAATGGTTTTCCGAATCGAATTTCATTCCAAGAATTTTGTCAGCGTTATGATATTTTATGTCCAAATATCATATTAAAAGGTTTCATGGATAGCAAAACTGTCTCGCAAGAAATGATAAAACAGCTTAAATTAGATGAAGGGAAATATCGAATTGGTTTAACGAAAATCTTCTTTCGTGCAGATGTTCTTAGTTTCTTAGAAGAAAAACGTGATTTGAAATTAGCAAATATTATCACTCAACTTCAAGCATTAAGTCGAGCAGTGTTAACACGTAAATATTATCAGAGACGTATTCAAAAATGGAATCTTGTTTGTGTGATGCAACAAAATCCAAACATTATAAAAGTGGAGGATTCATTACCACAAAAACAAGAGGAAATGCGTCGAATGAAAGCAGAAATAGAATCATGTGTATCACGAGAACAAGAAAGCAAACAGCAGTTACAAATAGTTCAACAGGAAAAAGATATAGTTAACGACAGACTTGCAAATGTTATTGAAGCACTAAAAGAATCTGATGAGGTAGACTCATTAATAGAGATTTGAATCGAATTGGTTATTTTTTTTCTTAAAGAATTTCCACCGCGTTCAAACTATAGTAGAAGTAATGGAACAACGTTTAAAAAATAATGAACGAATTATAAGTTTGCTCAGAGAAGAGAATAAAAACTACAAGACAATGTTGCGGAAGAGAATCAACAAAAACTCAATGTTTTAACAAAACTGCAACTGGCAGAAGATTTGCTTTTTAAATCAAGTCAACCTACTAATGATAAAGAACAATTCCCTCAACATAAAGTTAAGACAAAAGATCAGGAAAAAAGTTTGATTCAGGTACGTCAATACTAACAAAAATCAAGTTTACAACAAAATAAGCCTGTCAAATAACTGTGTTGTTGAAACATGCGAAAATTCGGAACATCTTGGGCTCTAAATACTAGCGAAAAACGATGAAAACAGTGTGGATAGTTTCTGAAAGCT